AACTTGATATGCCATCCTCTGCTGACTCCCATGGAAGGCCTGCCCCTTTCTGAATGGACATGGAGCAGTGGCGGGGAGGTAGGAGAAGAGAGGTGGGGTGAGGGAATAGGAGGAGATGAGGGAGGGGAACTGTGGTTGGTATAAATAAATGAAAAAATAAATGTCTTGAGGAATGCAGACCTTTTCAGTTCACACAAATATCATAGAGATCTACCTGTCAAGCTCTAGACTCTTTAAACCCTATTAATCAATCTTCGGGATCTTATCAGAGAGGGCTTTAGAAACCAGGTGAGGCTCTTTACTCTGAGGAGTCATTTTGAGATCCTCTAGTCTGTCTCCTTTCACAGTACACTGTGATAGTTCAGAAAAGTAAGAGGAGACTTCACCATGGTCTGAAAGTTGAATCAGTCCAATTCATCCAGGTGCCCACAAGTCCTAACTTTCAGACAAACGTGATACCACTTTTAACTAAAATGTGCTTGCTGAAATCCTGGCTAGCACTGGGAGCAGATGAGAACAGAACAACGACATTTGGATTATTTAAACTATACTGTGCATGACACAGACGTCTGGAAAATTGAGAACTCAATGTAAGTTAAAAACACTTCAACTTCTTTATATTTAAAATATTTTTATTGTGTGAATATCCATTCCAAACTCCCTTATGCTTTTATTTTTCTCAATTTGACATTTATCTGAAAATCTACTATAGACAATACGCCAGTTGTGAATAAAACACAGTAACATTTTTTATTGAATTTTAAATTATCCTGAGAAAATATCTTTATCTAAGTCCACTGAGATACACAAGAGAAAACATGAAAACTCTGTGTTCTACTAAACAAGATTCCTGTGACTCTAGGGAATTTGATTTCAGTCCCACATGCCATGAGTACAGTGTTCCTAGCTGTACAGAAAGACGCCAGAACATGCCAACTTGTTAAAGACAATTCTTTGCTGTGTTATAATATCTGAAGTGATTGTTTAAGGTGTGTCTTCTCATTTTGCATTAAACCTTTTAAAATTTTACTTACTCAAGTTTGCAAACTCAGTAAAACTAACTCTCTTAATTAGGGTTTCTGTTGCTGAGAAGAGACACCATGATCTCGGTAGTTCTGATCCAATGACATACCACTCTTAGAAACTTGATTTCATTGCTCAAGCCTGGTCACCCTGCCTATGGGTATGCATGGCCATGGTCCCTTTAGTGTCAGAGGCTGACAAAATGATTTGGGGATAAGAATTAACAGTCCAAATGTCAAACATAGTATTAACATTAGTGGATTAAGGGGAAGCACTGACTAACTAATGCCCAGATGGTCAGATATCAGAGAACGAACGCTATGTGGGAAAAATCACACAGTCATCTAAAGCGGAGTGGACACAAACCCTAGAGAATGTCCTACATGTTGGACCAGTAAGTCAGATCATGACTGTGTTAAAGTTATGCATAAGGTATTAATGGACCAGTCATCAAGGAAGGACTCTGACATGAGTGTTTCACCCAAATTGTAGTTTTGCAAAAGGAGAATGCCTTTTGGGGATACTTCATGATTAAGTTTCATCACTGAGTTGAAATCTCTGCCAAAGTGAAACTCAGAAAAAAAAAAGGTAGAACTCATAGTGCTGACCACAGCTCTCTAACGAGCAGCAGGAACTGAGGTCAATATAAGCATGAACTCTAAATAGCCTTCACCATTATCCACATACATGAAGCTTTATATAAAGAAAGGGGCCTAATTGACTCAGAAGGAAAAGGCTTAAAATAGGGAAAAGAAATTCTTGAAACCTCAGATGCTGTTTGGATTCCTAAAAGGGCAGTAGTCATGCATTGCTGGAGAAATCAAGGGATGTTACACTTACCTTGCAATGACTAGCAATTCTAGTTTGACATAAATAAAACACAGGTTGGAGAATGCTGGTCATAAAGAAATTTTAAAGTTTCCACAAAGTTGTGCATTACTGAAAAAAAAAAATGAAGGCAGAGATGGATTCGGAAAAATGTCCAGATGTAATGAACAGTTTCCTTTTGATGAAAAATCGAAGGTTGGGGGAGTCCAAAAAGGAAACCTGAAGCTAGGATTTTAGGACAATCCCCACTGTCCTAAAGGTTGTCTAGGCTGGCCTGCACCTCCTCTTCAGGCCTCCTGGTGAGACCTCTGTAAGCCCAAAAATACAAATATACTGACAATCAAAGACTCCTAACTCCAAAGACAGATTCCCAAAGTCAGAAAATCACTAGATATAAAAAACAAAAAGGACAGTTCTAATGCTGTTTTTAACACTTTATTGAAATCTTCTTTGGCCCCATTACTGAATCTAATAAAAATGAATATAAAGTCTGAGCCTGATGCATTCTGCTCAAATTACTTAACTCCCTGAAAACATGACTTCTGACATTTGGTGAAGTGAACCTAGGACAAGGACAATGGAGGCAAGTATTCCATGTTTTGTCTTTGCATATGGATCAGGAATAAGAGACTTCTCACCAGGAACGGAGAGCACAGATACCAGAGGGTAATGCTGAGAACCCTTCAGTGAGGAACCAGAGGGAAAGAGCTTCCCGACCAGTGAGTGGGAATGAGGAGAATGTGCTTACATTCTAAGGAAACCTAGCAGGCTCTCGAGCTTCTACTTAGTCCAGTGCATTTGTGTGACCAGCATCAGAGCCTCTTTCAGGGTTATTTTGATGGAGGAAGGACATTGGATAATTATAATAAAGAAACTGCCTTGGCCCGTTTTATTGGTTAGAACATAGGTGGGTGGAGGAAACAGAAGAAAATGCTGGGAGAAAGAAGCTGAATCAGTGAGTCGCCATGGTTCTCCCACTCCAGACAGACGCAGGTTAAGATCCTCCCTGGTGAGCCACCTCGTGGGCTACACAGAATATTAGAAATGGGTTAGAACAATATGTAAGAGCTAGCCAATAAGAGGCTACAGATAACGGGCCAGGCAGTGTTTAAAAAAATACAATTTCTGTGTAATTATTTCGGGGCATAACCTAGCCATGCGGGTGGCCGGGTGCTGGGGACGCAGCCCCGCCGCTCCTAATTCCACAGAGTGGCGCCCGACGTGATGAGCTAAATCCACTTAAAAACCTGAGAAGGCTTAAAACTAAGGGAGAGAGAGTTTAACACAGATTTTTGCTGTTTGTTGGTGGCGTGCTGTAGAGAAATTTCCTGATTCAGCAACAGCAGCAGAAAAAAGCTGCGTCATTTTAAAGCGCGGCTTCCTGGGGCTGTGCTGCCAGTGTGAACTCTGGCTTTAAAGCATTTCAAGGCTTTTATGGGACTGGATGTTTCTGTTCCCGCTTGGGATCGGAAGGAGAGTGCTCTGAGATCCTGCAGATGGCTCAGTGCTCCCGCCTGCACCTGGGCAGATGGCAGAATCAGGCTTAGGCGGGCGGAAGAGGATGGCGGATTCCTGTGGCTATACCGACTGTTTTCAGACTGCTCAGTGCTCTGCATGTCAGATTTGGCTGTAACTTGGATGAAAAGAGTTTCTGTGCTGCACACTCAGTCTCAGAATTAAACTGCTGATTGTGGCTCCAATGTGGACTGCTGTGTGCCTGGAACTGTGTGGCTCAGGGGCACCAAATGGATCTGAGACAGGAGCAGCTGCTCCATGCTGAACTGTGCTGACCTCAGGCAGGAACTACCGTAATTACCTTAAAACGGCGCAGTTAAGGTTTAGACTGGGCAGGACACAGGCAGTACCGTATTACTTGTACATGGTGCAACTTAAGGTTTTAAGACGTGCTTAACATTTTAAGAAATGCTCCTGGATAGTGAAAAAATTACAGATTCACAGTAAAACGGATTCAGACATAAAAGACCACAGTGTTGGATGAGTGTATGTAGGCTTGAGAGAGAGAAGAAAAAAATATAGAGAATAAAGTTAATGCCTTTAAAAAAGGGTAAAGTCATTAAAGAGACAGAGTACAGAAGTACAGATAGTTATAGATTAAGAGAAATAAAGAAAAATAAGCCACGTAAAAATGGAAAATTCACAGAGAGTCTGGATTATGTACATTGTGTTTTCTTTAAAATTTTTGACTGTGAAGGAGCTAAGTACAGAGAGACATTTCATTATATGGGCTGC